ACTACTTAGTTTCCTTGTCAGGCTCCCAGATGCAGATTGCCTGTGGGCTGTCACTCTCCACAGGTAAAGCTACCCACATCTTCAGGACAGGCTTTTTTTTTGAGATGGAGTCTGCCCTGTCACCCAGTTTGTAGTGCATTGGCACGACAGGGTCCCACAGGCAGGCTCTGGGGAAAGGCCCGCCCAGCCGTCAGGTAGCCTGTGTGTTTTACAAACAAACAGCAGCCAAATGTGCTGCCTCCTGCCAGACATTCCTACCATTGACATCAAAACTGGTGGGTGACCTTTTCAGCCATTTGACATTTCCCTCAGAAGAACCTTGCCTCCTGGCAGTTCAAGAAATTCTCCTGTCTCAGCCTCCCAAGTAGCTGGGCTAATTTTTGTATTTTTAATGGAGATGCAGTTTCACCATGTTGGCCAGGTTGGTCTTGAACTCCTGACCTCAAGGCGGGCTGAGGTCCACCTCAGCCTCCCAAAGTGCTGGGATTACAGGCATGAGCCACCGTGCCTAGCTCATCTTCATCTTCTTTACTTGAATTTAATTCTTTTTCATGTATCTTCCCTCTTTTCCTCTTTCCTCCTCTACCCAATGCCTTGGCTGTTGACATTCCCAGGTGTTTAGTTCTGGGCCTCTGAAGGCTGTGAAGGAGCGCTGCTTAGTCCTCCTTTCAAGAAAGCAGCTTCAAGGAGTTCAATTACACAAGCTTCTGCCATTGGGGACCTGTTGCCGGGTTCCCACCCAGGCCATGATGGCTGTCACCAAGCACAGTGGAGGTGTAGTTGCTAGACCATTTCTGCCTGACACAGGACTCCTGTAACAAGCAGTCTGAGGCCAGGCATGGTGGCTCATGCCTGTAATCCCAGCACTTTGGGAGGCTGAGGCAGGCTGATCACTTTGAGGTTGGGAGTTTGAAACCAGTCTGGCCAACATGGCGAAAACCTGTCTCTACTAAAAATACAAAAATTAGCCAGACGTGGTGGCAGGTGCCTGTAATCCCAGCTACTCAGGAAGCTGAGGCAGGAGAATCGCTTAAACCCAGGAGGTGGAGGTTGCAGTGACCTGAGATCAAGCCATTGCACTCCAGCCTGGACAACAGAGCAAGATTTTGTCTCAGAAACAATAAAAAAATACTGAGCAGTCTGCTTGGACACTCCCATCAGCCTGGCCACGACATCTTCGGAGCTGTCTTGCCGTCCTACCTTCTTTTACCCCAGTGTTCCTTGGCCCACCAGCAAACCTACATCATAGGCTCTTCTTGTCTTCTGTTTCCTCCTCTCCCCTTTCTCTAACATAAGTGTTTCTCCTGAGAAGTAGAAAAAAACAACTACCTGTCCCTGACATTCAGAAGCTGACAACACTGTTGGGTTGTCTTATTAATTCTCTTATTGGACATAAACAGTCTCCGACTACCAACTCCAAAGTTGCTCTCAGGCCGTGAAAATAAATAATTTTGTCTAAGCACATAAAAGAAAAAATTCAAGGTCTGTTTACCACTCACAAAATACCAAACATCCTTCTCCTAGTTAAAATGAGTAACAGCGTGCTCGCTTCGGCAGCACGTATACTAAAATTGGAACGATACAGACACGGCCCCTGTGCAAGGATGACAGGCAAATCCATGAAGCATTCCATATTTTTCAAATAATACCTTTTTAATTGTATCCTCTAGTATTACAGATACAGGGCAGTACCGTATCATACCTCTGTGAATGTAAAATATCTTGTACCTGCTTTATGATACGTAGTAGTGACCGTGCTTTATCAGAGCTGTTTTTAATGATGTTATTCTAGCATGTTTCTTTCCAGATGACGATTCAGAAGCTAATTTTTAAAAATGGTACCAGGTACCACAACAGTAACAGAACTTTGCAATTTTTGGGGTTTTGTTTTTTACCTTTTTTTTAAAAATGGAATGTGCTGGATGTCTATAATTTTGTTCAGATGACTGCAGAACCTGGAAGAGCTCTTGCTGCGATTGATGTATAACATACTGCTATTATTGGTCTTTTTATACAAATATATATACACACACACACACACACACACACGTATATATAATTTGAATTTTTGGAAACTTCAGCTGTGCTGTCAACTTTGGAAAAAGTATCCCTGTTTATTGTGTTGAGTTGGCATTGTACAGAAATTAACAGCCATATTGGCCTAGAAACGTTAAACTTAATTTTTTTCCATTTGTACAGGGGTAACACACTATTAAATATGTAAGGTCTTATCTACATGGGTTTGATTACAGAAACTAATATTCTCTTTAAAAAAAAAAAAGTAACAGCTGCTAATAATAAAAAAAAAAGGGCAGTTACAGCCTTTATCCCTACTCTAGTCCAGCTTCCTGTAGATAAGCTGTATTGAGATGCTCAATCCTACAGTTGCCCTCACTCTGACAGCGTCCAATCTGAATGAATCCTCACTTCTTGGAATCATCCAACCAAGGCCAAAATCCTAAAAGAGGTTCTGACACCCTCTGTCTGAGAAGCCCTACTATTCTCTGTGATGAATGTTCTCCCTCACCACAACAAGTAATAGACCCAACTTGTTCAAATACAGTTGTTTCTAGTAGCATTTCGCTGAAGGCATTCACACCCCCAACGAATGTCTTACACTTCTAATTGTGTCTTGGGGTGTGCCTCATGGAAGACCCTACTGAGACAATTGTGCCTGGATGTGGTCTGAGAGCAGGCAGTAGGACGAAGCTTGAGGACTGACTCATTCACTATCCAACTGGCAACAAAACACATCCAGAACAGTGTGTGAGGTATGGACAGTCGCTGGCACAAGGGGGCGGCCCAGTTGCTGAGGATTCTACCAGTGATGCCCTGGGAAAATATCCCCAGGGAGGGGAATGTGTGGAATGAAACCTGTGGGAGGTAAGGGGAGTACTTCACAAAAGGACAGTAGAGTGTCAGTTTCCTGCAGGGGAATAGTGAGAAACTGATGAGATGACTGAGTACCCAGGGCCTCTGTGGTTATCTTTGAGGACCTGGTAGAAATTAGTCAATCAAAAACAATACTGAGGCCAGGCACGGTGGCTCATGCCTGTTAATTCCAGCACTTTGGGAGGCTAAAGTGGGCGGATCACTTTGAGGTCAGGAGTTCGGGACCAGCCTGGCCAGCATGGTGAGACCCTGTTTCTACTAAAAATATAATTAGATGGGCATGCTGGCAGGTGCCTGTAATCCCAGCTACATGGGAGGGTGAGGCAGGAGAATCGCTTGAAACTGGGAGGTGGAGGTTGCCAGTGAGCTGAGATCGCGCCACTACACCCCAGCTTGAGCGACAGAGCAAGACTATGTCTCGGAAACAAACAATACTGTATCCTGGGGGTGAAGGGGAGGTGATGGTGAAGATCAGTGCTACCCTTGGAAATCTGACAGATGCCAGTAAGATGGTCCCAATCATACATCCGTGTAATTTGTCAGCCTTATCTGCAGAATCCTGATGGATGCTGGAGAAAAATTGTCAACCAAGTAACCTCAATAACAATTGCTGGGTTGGAAATTACATCAGTGTTAGAGCAGTTCAGGGCTCAGGTACGTGGTATGCAGCCATTGACTGGGCGAATCCATTCTTACGTATCCCAGTTATGGAACACTTTGCATTCATGTGGAACAGAGAGTATTCCTTTCAGTTTTACTGCAGGAACATGTTAACTTCTCCGCTGTCATAATAAACAGCCTGAAGAGATTTACCATCAAATCCCGTTGTTTCTCTCTCCCAACTTAAACCCATATTGGATAATTTATCTCCATCTCCACTGTAACCTTCACATCCCCACTGTCATCTCTAGACCACTCTGCTCTTGAGAGACTGATGGAATCATTATTCAAACTAAAATAGGAAGAATGTTTTATCTATCAAATTGTATTTTTTGTCAATAGTGTTAGAGCACAGACAGTTTCATTTACTGCTGGTGAGGGTGTAAATTACTAGAAACTTTTTGAATGGCAGTCTGATTAAATCAAACAAAGAGCTTAAGTTTGTGTCCTCAAATGCCTTCCTTGAATACTCAAGGCACGTGGCCTCAAGAAAAAAATTATAGAAGCATGCAAAGATTTTGTTAACAAAGATATAATCACTGCAGGGTAGAATTTAGAAATTTAAGATTTTTTAGTCATCTGCAACAAGAAAGGAGTCAAAACAGATGTAGGGTCTCAATTAGTAAAATTCTCTCCCTGCCCAGAGATTACGCTGAGTTAAGGGACAGAAATGCAAAGTGTAGCCTGCTTTGCTAGTTACCAGGAATTACACTATGTTGGGAAAATGTTTCAACACACAAAAATAGAACCACCTGTATGTAATCTTTTTGAAAGCACAAAATAAAGAGCAGTCCTACAACATTCACTGCTGCGGTCTGAATGTTGGTATCCCTCCCAGAATTCGTAGGTTGGAACCTAATGTCAATGTAATAGTATTAAGAGGTGGGGCTTTTGGCACGCAGTGGATTCATGAGGGCTTCACCCTCATGAATGGGATAAGTACTCTTACAAAAGAAGCTTAGGGATGATCTCTTGCCTCTTCCACCTTATAAGGATACATAGCAGGCACCCATCTCTAAGGAATGGGCCCTCACCAGATTCCAAATCTGCTGGTGTCTTGATCTTGGATTTAGCCTCTAGGACTGTGAGCGATACATTTCTATTATTTATAAATTATCTAGTATAAGTAAGATATTTTGTTATAGCAGCCTAAACCAGCTGAGACACCCTAAGAAAAGAAAAAATATTTGGTAATGAAAAACAATATGGCATGCTACATGTATGGTGACAAGTATTTGCATTTAAAAATGTATTGGGGCCTTGTTTTGATTAGACAGGAAATTCACCTTTAATACGTAAGTTTAGTTTTCTCTCAACATGACAGTTATAATATGTAATCAGCTTTGTTTTTTGAAGATTATGTGATTGAGGTTAATGGGAACTGAACTTTCTGTTTCCAAGCTGTCTTCATTTTACCTTTCTATAAAAAAATCAATACAAGTCAACCATTTTTATTGCCCAGTTCAAAGTTTTATTCAAAGAGCAAAGTTTTGACAATGCATAGAATTAACATTGGTTTGTGGGCCACTTCCTGGGCCAGCACCAAAGACTGAAAAAGTATTTAACCCACTGAAAGTTGCATTGAGTCTTGTCAAATCACATTGCTCCGTCAGAAGGTAAGACAAGACAGTGTGGACTGAGAGCAGTGTAAGCACCATGAACAGCCATTCCAGTTCCTTTAATCCACTGGAAATCCATGCAGTGAAGAAGCAACGCACCATGAGACAAATGGCTCCAACCCAAAGACCAGAGGTTTGGGAGTTTGTTGTTGTTTGTTTTTATCTGTAGAGATGGGGTCTCACTGTGTTGCCCAGGCTGATCTCGAACTCTTGGGCTCATACTATTCTCCTGCTTCAGCCTCCTAAGCAGCTGGGACGACAGGCGCCCATCACTGTGCCTGGCTAATTCTTTTTGTAGAGATGGAGGTCTTGCTGTGTTGCCCAGGCTGGTCTCAAATTCCTGGCCTCAAGTTCTCCTCCCATCTCGGCCTCCCAAGGTGTTGGGATTACAAGCATGAGCCAGGTGCCCAGTCTAGAAGATCTTTGACTTCAAATACCAGATCGTCTAGAGGCCTTCACAAATGATCAGGTTGACACTGCAGTCATTAAATTGAGACCTATAACTGGGCTGGGCTTGGTTATTTACAGAAAAACCTGTGGTGCTTAATTCCAATTCATGTTAAATTATCTTGCATAATCCTTTCAAAGCCCTTTTAGAGGTAGGTGTTATCCCATCTATATATAATCTGCTGCTTGTCTTAGACCAAGCAAGTGAAAAATTCAATCCAAGCATGCTGCCATCCATTTCTGGTAGGTTTGGTTTGTTTTCTTTTTAGTTGGCTTTCCTGTTTATTTTGAACTTTTATTCATCTTCCTCTTGAGGTTAGATGTGCATTTTGGAATTGTATCATTTTACATAGAAAAAACTCATCCGTGAGTTGACTAGCATCCTAAGGACAGTTAAACCACTTTTAAAGTAGATCATGGAAGTCACAAAGTCTGATATTCCACAAAATGGAGTATGATGTTTTAGACACTAGAAATACAATATAGGTCATTAGTAATGCAAATAACATTTCCCTGTAGATGCTTTTTAATAACACTGGTTTGTTCAATGTCAAGATATTTGTCATGAACTGTCACCATGGAAAAATATTATTATTTTTTCTTTTTTTTGAGACAGGGTCTCCCTCTGTCACCCAGGTTGGTTGGAGTGCAGGAGTTCCATCTTGGCTCACTGCAACCTCTTCTTCCCAGGTTCAAGTAATCCTCCCACCTCAGCCCCCCAAGTACCTGGGACCACAAGCACATGCCACCATGCCTGGCTAATTTTTGTATATTTTATAGAGACTGGGTTTCACCATATTACCCAGGCTGGTCTCAAATTCCTGGACTCAAGCGATCTGTCTGCCTCAGCCTCCCAAAGTGCTGGGATTACAGGCATGAGCCACGGTGCCTGGCAGAACAGTATGAAATGTTAATGCCAAAATTTGTTTTAGCTATCATATATAAATCATATTACAAGCATATTATTTGGTTGGTTGGTTTTAGTTCATTCCTTCAATCAGATGATTTAAAAGAAATGTTTTTCAGGTATCCTCTTTGTGATGTATCCGAAAGATTAGCTTAGAAAGAAAAGTACTTGGTAAACCATTCCTGGTGCGGAGAGCCCTGTTTCTGCTGTGCTTCTTTTGGTTGATCCGTTTCACCGTCTGGTGTCCTAAAAACAAGAAAATGTTTTTTATATGGTTTAAATATGCAATAAACAACTTAATACCCACCATAGTTTCAGAGAAAGATAACTGCTTATTTACTCTTCAGAAATACCCGAATGGGACCAGCCAACATTAGTAATGGGAAGCAAGTTGAAAAGGATGGGGCTGGGGAGGGAGTGTCTAATTCCCATTTTGAAAACAGAAGATTCACCATTGTTTATTTCTCTGTTGTTCCTTTGAGACTTAGTGATTATAGCTCTGATAATTATGCAGGATTAACCAAACTTAAAGATTAAGGGACTTTATTTTTATTTTTTTTTTTTGAGACAGAGTCTCCCTCTGTTGCCCACGCTAGAGTGCACTGGCATGGTCTTGGCTCACTGCAACCTCCAGGCTCCTGGGTTCAAGTGATCAATGTTCCTCAGCCTCCCAGTTAGCTGGAATTACAGGCGCAGACCACCACACCCAGCTAATTTTTGTAGTTTTTGTAGAGATGAGTTTGCCATGTTGGCCAGGCTGGTCTCAAAAATCTGACCTTAGGTGATCTACCCACCTCGGCCTCCCGGAGTGCTGGGATTACAGGTGTCAGCCACCGTGCCCGGCCTGATTAAGAGAGTTTAGAATTGCAAGGGGATACAGTAAATCTTGAGGAATAATATTAGTAATAATACTGAAACTATATTAAAGATTTCTGTGCCAATTCCTGTGCTAAGTATGTCCTATGGATTAATGCCTTTAGTCTCACATTAGTCTGATGAGATAGATGCTATATTGTCTTCATTTTAGAGGCAAGGATATGGTAACCTGGAGAGGTCAAGTGACCTGTCCAAGGCCACACAGCTAAGAATGAGGAGGAGTGTGATTTGAATTCAGACCTCCAGGCCAGATGGGGTCTACCTTTTGTGTAACCCATTCTGAAGTTTTCAGCTAAGTGATTCAGTGTCCCTTGTCTAATCATGCATGAAAAAGGGCCTTCTGGAATTCGGTACCGGGAATAGTACCCCTTCCAAATGACATAATTCTCTTCTCTTACACAGTCTTTCCTTTTGGCCAAATTATCATTTTTCAGGCAGGGCTTGTTTTGCTACTCTTTATATCACCCAAATGCCAAGTACTTAGCAGGTGCCAGAAAGAATCCTAATTTCCCTTTTATCTATGGGGAAACAGAATCAGGGCCTCTGTCCCCAACAACCCCCAGAACCTTGTGGCAGTTTTTGCATCCAGAGACTGGTTGGGTTTGTAGGGCCGGCCACAGCTGGGGCTTGGGTCCAAGCTGGGTGATTTAGTTATTGGAGGGGCATTAATCCTGGAGCTGAGATCGCCACTCAGGAAGTTCTTTGCGTAGGAGGCAAGGTTTGGCACGCTGACCACGCGGCTGGGCACGTCCTCCATCTTCTTCTTCTGTTTGTATTAATGGAAAGGTTATTGCAATGCAATGCAAAAAAAAAAAAAAAAAAGCATTGTTGTAAAAGCAAATAATGCTCGCCCAATCAAAATTGCACAGGAGAAGAAGCAACAATTTTATTTATATACTTACATGCTATTTTTTAAAGCACTTTTCTTTCTAATCTTCATTTTGTATTATAAATATATATGTATGTTCACAATCTCTTAGCCAGAACTTCTGGAGATGGATGTGTTTTGCAACTAAATTTTGTTTAAGATTTTAGAAGGTCATATAACACCCTCAGCAGGAGCTGGGCCCACCCTAGCCTCAAATGCATTCACATTCCTGGAGTGAAATTTACATTTCGTCACACTGAGGGATACATAAAAACTACAAATGAGATCACATTAGTTAGGTCACAAATGTATTGTCCTGTGAATTATTTTTAAAATTTTTTTGAGATGGGAGTCTTGCTCTGTTGCCCAGGCTAGAGTTCAGTGGTGTGATCTCGGCTCACTGCACCCTCCGTCTCGTGGGTTCAATCAATTCTCCTGCCTTAGCCTCCCGAGTAGCTGGGATTACAGGCGTCCACCACCACACCCAGCTAATTTTTCTATTTTTTAATAGAGATGGAGTTTCACCATATTGACAAGGCTGGTCTTGAAATCCTGACCTCTAGTAATCCACCCACCTCAGCCTCCCAGAGTGCTGGGATTACAGATCTGAGCCATCACACCTGGCCAAAAATACTATTTTCAAAGATCCTTTAGGATTTTGTGATAGCCTTTAGGATTTTGTGATAGCAGATAAGAGAATCGGATGTGAAAAATTCCAAAAATACATACAGAAATAAGAAGTGGAAGATTCTTACTCTTCTTCTTCCTCCCATTACCTAGATAGAGCTGTTCTTAATACTGACACATATTTACTCTAAAAAGTTTGGAAAATACAAAAACCCATAAAAAATAAAAATCACTCATAATCTGCCCAGCCAGATTACACTATTAGTACTTTGGACTGTTTCTCATGGGTGCTTTTATTCCAATGAATATTTCTCTGAGCGTACACCAGCCCATCAATAACCTGTGGTTACCTTTAAGAAAAATGAAACGAGCAGAATTGTATAATGCATTAAAACCAGTAGAACCAATTTACCTTCATGGAAGGAGTCAAATATCCCGGGTGAGGATTGAAAGAAAAAGATCGATTCCGGTGGGACATTGCACTGGGGAATGCTGTGTAGTGAAATCTTCTCTCTTCCTGAAAAAGCAATACAACTGAGTCTAAGTGAACCTAACCACACAGCACTGGGTTTGACCTGAAGGAAGATGACTGTGAGGACAGAATACAGAGAGAAGGAAAGTCCAGGGGAGGAAGGGGAAGGCAGTGAGAATCAAACTGCCAGCCCCTGAAGCTTTGAGGAAGCACCTTTCCTCTTGATCTTTTATGTCCCCAGCCCCTCTTGTAAAGAAAAGGGCAGGTTATGCTTTAGGATACTGGAAATCCAATTGTTCTTAGCATGTGAAGGTAACCTACTGCAGAAAGTTAGTAAGGCAAAGAAAGAAAACCTCCAGGTATGCAAAGGATTTCACCTTCTTTCTTCCTCTGTCTTTTGTTTACATTTGTGTTTTCTAACACATACAAACGTAGAGAGGGTAATGAAATCCATCCCCCACTTTACCTATTATAACTGTATGGCCAATCTTGTCTGTATGTGTCATTTTCCACTTTTTTTCTCTCCTGCTGTATTAGTATTAAATTCCAGTTATTACATAAATTTCTCTATAAAAACAATATTTCTAAGAAATAAGGATTACTTAAAAAAAAAAAAGAAATAAGGATTACTTTAAAAACTCACAATACCTGTCCACACTTAGCAAATGAGCAATAATTCCTTATCAGTGTCACCTAATTTTCAAAGCACCTGGAGATTCAGAAGGTAGGTGGGTGGGCAGGAGCAGGTGGAGGGGGGAGACATTCCCAAGAAATGACCAGCAGGCCTTGGGTGGATACTGAATCAGAGGGAGTTGGGTTCTTTTCAAGGGGTCTAGGGAGTGGCTTTGCTAAGTAGAAAACAGGTGGTCATTTTTACCAAAAAGAACGACAATAAAAACATCTATTGATTCTACTAAAATTCAAACATAAGCCATTCTACATTTTCTCAAATTCTGTAAGTTAAAAAAATTATTATCATCGGACAAATGATCTTTTTTCTGTCTGTTTTCCTGTATTAATTTTTTAGTGAGTATGTCTTTAATAATAGAAAAGAAAGGATTCTTGCCGGGCGCGGTGGCTCAAGCCTGTAATCCCAGCACTTTGGGAGGCCGAGGCGGGTGGATCACGAGGTCAAGAGATCGAGACCATCCTGGTCAAAATGGTGAAACCCCGTCTCTACTAAAAAATACAAAAATTAGCTGGGCATGGTGGCGCATGCCTGTAATCCCAGCTACTCAGGAGGCTGAGGCAGGAGAATTGCCTGAACCCAGGAGGCGGAGGTTGCGGTGAGCCGAGATCGTGCCATTGCACTCCAGCCTGGGTAACATGAGTGAAACTCCGTCTCAAAAAAAAAAAAAAAAAAAAAAAAAAAAGGATTCTTTTTTTTTTTCTTTGAGACAGAATCTTGCACTATCACCCAGGCCAGTGCAGTGGAGTGATCTCAGCTCACTGCAACCTCTGGCTCCTGGTTCAAGTGATTCTCCTGCCTCAGCCTCCCTAGTAGCTGGGATTACAGGCACCCACCACCACACCCAGCTAATTTTTGTATTTTTAGTAGAGACGAGGTTTCACCATGTTGGTCAGGCTGGTCTCGAACTCCTGACCTCAAGTGATCCACCTTTCTCAGCCTCCCAAAGTGCTGGGATTACAGGTGTGAGCCACCGCACCCAGCCCGAAAGGATTCTTTATAAAGGAAGATGTTAGGGCACCTAGAGAAATGCTGAATGCAAGTGAACACCCCTCCCTTGGGGAACCCGCAGTGCCCGGCCAGGCACGTGGGCAAGGCGCCCCCTGATTGCCTCACCGTGAGCTGCCTGATGATGTCCTCTCTCTCCTTCAGCCGGGTCTGCAGGCGGCCTATGAGCTGAAGGTCCTCGGGCCTGGACGCTCCCTTCCCTGGCTTCTCTCCAGAATCTTTCAGTCTGTTCCAAGCAGGTATGCAGTCAGGTCCCCCTTAGAGCAATTACTCAACAAGGCGGGAGAACAAGTGCACGCGATGGGAATGCCATCGTGTGTTCAGCCTGGCGGGGGAGGCCCAGATAGCAGCAGAGGTTTAGCCAGGGCCTCCCAGGGAAATGGCTGGCGGAACCCAGGATCCCAGCTCTGTCAGGTCCCCTGAGGCTGCAGGGCCAGGAGCCAAAGGTCCCCTGTGTGCACAGAGTGCTGCACACAGCGGGGCTTCAAGAGCCAGGGATGCTGCTGGGAGAACAGCCCAGGGCAGGAACATGCCCCCAACTCCGCCCGAGGCCCGCAGGTTCTCTTAAAGCTCTGGCGCCATCTGCAGGCGGACACGGAGCACGGCCCGTGGCCAGTACCCACTGCCTGCTTTTTCAGTGTGAAGCCAGGGTGGAACTGGGTGGGGAGGCGAGCAGGGCTAGGGCTGCAGATGACCTACTGACAGGAGTTGATAAGAGCCCAGGGCTTTGAGTGAGATGACCGGGCTCTAATACTGGCTCTGCTTTTTTCTAGATATGTGACCTTGAGCATCATTTCACCTGTGTGTGGGCCTCGGTTCCCTCTTCTTTGGCCATGGAACTGGGTGGTTGTGAGAATTCCGTGTGATAATGGGCCCCTGGCTTACATAGCAAGTGCCCCGTAGACTGTAGCTGGTAAAACCTTTCCTGCTGGGTTTTGAATGATTTGCTTTGTATTGGAGACAGTGGAGAAGTTTTTAAGAGCTCAGGCTAAAGGTCAGACAGGTGACATTTAAATTCACTTAATGTTGCCTGACCTTGGGCAAGTGGCTTTGCCTGTCAGGACCTGGCTTGCAGCCATCACATCCTAAAAGGTCTTCCTGCCAGTCACCCCCTCCCCATTTCTTCTCAGCAGTCAGGCCATGTCACTCCTGCCCAATACCTTGTGATGGCTTCCCAGGGCACTCTGAACACATCCAAATTCCTTCCCATCAGGGCAGGGGTTCCTCCGCCCAGCTCCTTTCCTCCCACTCACCCTCCCTCTCACTCTGTTTAGCCACACAAGCCTTTGGGCTGTTTTCAGGAACGTGAAGCAGGCCCAGGGCCTTTGCACCAGATGTGGCATCTGCTTCCAATGCTCTTCATCCAGATGGCTCAGGAGTGCCCTCACCTCCTTTGTACTTAAATGTCACCTCCTCAAAGAGGCCTTCTTTTGCCCACACTTGCCACTCCCAATCCTGTCTTCTAGCACTTTCACCACCTGTTATGAATTTAACTGCTTGGTTTTTCTTTTTATTGAGACTGGGTCTATTTTGTTTCGTTTTGAGACACAGTCTCTCTCTCTCTGTAACCCAGGCTGGGGTACAGTGGTGCAATCATGGATCACTGCAACCTCAACCTCTTGGGCTCAGATGATCCTCCCACCTCAGCCTCCCAAGTAGCTGGGACTACAGGCACACACCACCATGCCCAGCTAATTTTTTTTATTTCTTAATTTTTTGTGAGACAGAGTTTTACAATGTTGCCCAGGCAGGTCTCAAACTCCTGGGCTCAAGGGATCCTCCCTGGGCTCAAGCCTCAGCCATGCAAAGTGCTGGGATTACAGGCATAAGCCACCAAGCCCAGCCTGTTTGCTTATTTCTTATCTGAGTCCTCGGCAGAATTTGTGAGCCTATGGACACTGTCTTTGTTTTGTTCTTCACTGTAACTCTAGAGCCTAAAGCAGTGCGGTGCATACAGTGGGTCCTTAACAAATATTTGTTGAATGAATAAATACAATATGTGTGCATGAGGGACCAGTGGGAATAACAACTCTACCCTCAAGTACTGTTGTGATGATTAAATGAGATGATACTATTAGAACAGAGCAAATGCTCATAATTGAGCAGCCCTGATCCTTCTGATTTCTTCCAAGTGTGAGGATTAAACCAACGCTTATCCTCACAGATTCCCAGTGACCTGCAGGAAAGGGGAACACATTCTCATAAAATGAAGGGAGAATGATGACCCCCTGGCTTGTTCCTCCCCATCCCCATCCCCCCAAACTTGCTCTGTCGCTGAAGCTGGAGTGCAATGGCCCAATCTCGGCTCACTGAAACCTCCACCTCCCAGGCTCAAGTGATCCTCCTGCCTCAGCCTCCCAAGTAGCTCGAATTGCAGGCATGTGTCATCATACCTGGTTAATTTTGTGTTTTTAGTAGAGACGGGGGTTCACCATGTTGGTCAGGCTGGTCTCAAACTCCTTAGCTCAAGTGATCCGCCTGTCGTGGCCTCCCAAAGTGCTGGGATTTCAGGTGTGAGCCATCGGGCCCGGCCAGAACCCAGGACTTTTCATTTGAAAACCAGGAAAGCCCAGGGCCACTGGGGTGAGTTGGCCACCCTACCAAATGGTACATTTGCTAGTCCCTCCCTGGGGCCCAAGGCCTCACTTACTCGGCTTCCAGGGCAGCCAGCCGGGCCTGGAGCTGGGCCTGAGCACTACTGAAATCTGCCACCATGGCCTGCATCTCCTTCCGGTGTTCCTGGCGGAGCGTCTCCACCTCCCTGGCCCGCTGGGCTTGCTGATTCTCCTCCAGCAACCTATGGTGGACGAAAGCACAGCCAGGCTTGCCCAGCTCCGGGGATGGCGCCCCTTGGGTCCTGGGGTTTATTCCCCTCATTGCTGCCCAGTTTGGGAGAGCTGGGTGGGGAGAGGTTGTGAACTGAGGATACCTGTGGGAAGGACAGCTAGGGTCTCCGAGTTGTGGGGTCCAGAACAAATCCCCACTGTGGGACCCCTTCTCAGCACCTTCCCATCTCAGAAGGAGAAACGTGAGCATGGGGACAAGCTTCAGGCAGAAGTGATGGAGAATAGCCCTGCAGAGGAGCCCCAGAAAACACGCTCTTCACTTGGGGCCAGCGGGGAGGCGGGAGGCTGAGATTCTCTATCAGTATCGCCCAAATGCTGGGACTCTGAGAGCCGGGCGGCCACCAGTCCAGGGTGGAAGTGGGTGGGATGGCAGTGTTTCAGCCCCTCCCCTGCTGACTCCCGACTGTGTCTATGTCTGCAGCCTCCCCATCACTTCCTCACTGTGTGACTCTGGGCAAGCTGCTCCCTGCTGCGCCCTCCTCTGTCAGATGTAGGTGACAGTGGAACCTACCTTACAGAATTACTGCAAGGAGGAATTGTGTTAATACATGTGCAGAACAGTCCATGGCATAAAGTAGATGCTCAACCATTAGCGATAATTTCTCTTACTTGTGAGAAACAGCGGGATCTACAGAAAAGCCTCAGGGGTCTATTGCCCTCAGAGGGTACAAGCACTTTTCTTTTCTTTTTTTTTTTTTCAGATGTAGTCTCACTCTGTTGCCCAGGTTGGACTGCAGTGGCACCATCTCAGCTCACTGCAACCTCCACCTCCTGGGTTTAAGCAATTCTCCTGCCTCAGCCTCCTGAATAGCTGGGATTACAGGTGCCCACCACCATGCCCCACTAAGTTTCTGTATCTTTAGTAGAGATGGGGTTTCACCATTTGGGCCATGCTGGTCTCAAACTCCTGACGTCAGGTGATCCACTCGCCTTGGCCTCCCAAAGTGTTGGGATTACAGGTGTGGGCCTCCGCACCCGACCAGCACTTTTTTTGTTGTTAGAGGTGAGGCCTCGCTATGTTGCCTAGGTTGGTCTCTAACTCCCGAATTTAAGCGTTTCTCCCACATCGGCCTCCCAAAGTGCTAGGATTATAGGTGTGAGCCACCATGCCTGGCCTGGTCCAAGCAAATTTTATGTAATATATTCCTTCCCAGGAGTGGGACCATTGCTCTTCTCACTTGGAGGGGGCCGTAATGTAAAATTGTTAGGAATTGCTAATCCAAACTCCTAATTCTAGGGAGTTGCGAAGGTCACATGGTGAGTCACTAACTGAAACTAAGTTGTTCCACCTTGGCCAGGTGGGCTCCTGGTTGCCTCTCAGATGAGCCTCTGGTCAGCTGTTCGCTTGGGGAGGGAGGCCTCATGACCCCAGTCCAGTTAGGGCCTGAGCTCTTTCACAGTCACCTGGCCCTGGCAGGGGGAAACTGTCCCTCACCAGTGAGCGTAGGACTCAGAATAACCCCCGTCTCCTGGTGGCTCTCCTCCCAATCTCCACTGGGCATTCTAGTCTCCTGGGGCCTCGTTCCGCATCCAGATTCCCCTCCTCATACCTTCTGCAACTGCGGTGGCCCTTTCCACATCCAGGCCCCTGCTGGGACCTTCTTTCCACATCCAGCCCCTTCCTGGGACCTCCTTTCCACATCCAGGCCCCTGCTGGGACCTCCTTTCCATATCCAGGCCCCTGCTGGGACCTCCTTTCCACATCCAGGCCCTTCCTGGTACCTCCTTTCCACATCCAGGCCCCTGCTGGGACCTCCTTTCCACATCCAGGCCCTTCCTGGGATCTTCTTTCCACAACCAGGCCCCTGCTGGGACCTCCTTTCCACATCCAGGCCTCTCTCAGACCTCCTGCAACTGGGGTGGCCCCAGAGTGTGGACTTTTAACAAAGCTCCCATGAGGGGCACCTCTGGCTGGGAATCCATGTACCCAGCACTACCTCAGGCCTCCAGGACACCCTGGTTCATCTCAGCGAGCGCTTCTGCCTAAAAAAGGAGGATTTATGAAGAATTCCAGCGTCTCTGGAAAACTCTCCTGCTCTGGCCATTTACTGCAGCAAGAGTGAAGTAAAGGACTCACAGATAAGAAGGCAGTGGCACTCAAAGTAGCATCCTGGTGACACTGCATCAGCATCTCCTGGGAATTTGTTAGAAACGCAAATCCTAATTCCAACGCTAATTAATCTAATTAATCCTAGTTTGCAGGCTCCACCCTGGCTCTAGTGATTCAGAAATGCCGAAGGTAGAGCCCAGAAATGTATTCAACAAACCTTCCAGGTGATTCCTTTTTTTCTTTTTTGAGACAGGTTCTTGCTCTGTCACCTAGGCTGGAGGGCAGTGGCAGGATCTCGGCTCACTGCAGCCTCCGCCCTCTGGGCTCAAGTGATCCTCCCCCTCAGCCTCCTGAGTAGCTGGGACTGCAGGTGCACACCCCCCATACCTGGTGTCTTTTTGTTTATTTTTGTTTTTGTAGTTTTAGTATAGAAGGGGTTCTTACATGTTGCCCAGGCTGGTCTCAAACTCCTGAGTTTAGGCAGTCTGCCTTGGCCTCCCAAAGTGCTGGGATTACAGGCATGAGCCACCACACCCTGCCCTTCCAGATGATTCTAATGCAAGTTCAAGTTTGAGAACCATGACAACAGACGTTTCTTGAATCAGTGCCATGTGCCAAGCATCGTTCCAAACCCTGTACACGTTCTCTCTTTCAGTTCTCCCGACAACCCTGTGAGCTAGGCCCTGTTATCCTCCCATGCTCTGGGCCAGTGAGGCATGGAGAGGTCAAGAAACTGACCCAAGGTAATGCATCAGAGGCAGAGTTACCAGTGCTGACCAAAGTGCAAAGCCCAGCCTTCCCTAACAACTACAGTGCAATGGAAAGTCTCCCTGAACCTTTTTCTTTTCTTTTCTTTTTTTTTTTTTTTTTTTTGAGACGGAGTTTTGCTCTTGTTGCCCAGGCTGGAGTGCAGTGGCACCATCTCAACTCACTGCAACCTCCACCTCCCAGGCTCAAGCAATCCTCCCTCCCCAGCCTCCCAAGTAGCCGGGACTACAGGTGCACACCACCACGCTTGGCTAATTTTTGTATTTTTAGTGGAGATGCGGTTTCACTATATTTCCCAGGCTGGTCTTGAACTCCTGACCTCAGGTGATCTGCCTGCCTTAGCCTCCCAAAGTACTGGGATTACAGGCGTGAGCCACCGCGCCAGCCGAGGCTGGAGTCTTATCCCCATTTTACAGAGGACTCAGTCTGGGAGAGGTCAGCTGACTCACCAACCTCACGCAGCTAGTTAAGAGCGCACAGCTAGTTAAGAAGACACCACACGGTCTGAACTACACCACACTGTCTCCCTAAGGTTGGATTTGATGACACTTTTGGTGTCTTCTAGGTCTAATTCTTAGTCTCATAAATGCCCCGATTTGCAGGGAACAGGACTCCCTCTTCTATTTCAAGGCACTTCCTCTGCGGTTTTGAGATCTGGAATTTCTGGCGCTCTGGGACTTTTCATGAGTTCGAGGAGTAGTATCTATGAGATGCTGGCGCATTGTCTAGTGTCTTGCAAGGCAGGGTGCCGGAGGGAGTGACCCATTTCAAGTCTTAGGCTCTGCAAGCCGCTGTGGGGGGAGGGAGGGAAACTGGTCGGAGGCGGGGTCACCGACCTGCGCTGGTCACGGAGCTGCTGCGCCTCCTGCTGATGCTGCTCCACCTCCGCGCGCAGCCGCCGCACCGCGTCCTGGAGCTGCGCGTTCTCCTCCCAGAGCCTGCATCCCTCGCCGGGACCCTGCCCAGCAGCGCCCGGTGGGAAGCCGGCCTGGCCCGGGCCACCCCGTACCTGAGAAGGCAACCGGGAGAGCTGTTTTCAGGAGGCGCAGGGGCGGACAAGGCACAAAGGGCCAGAGCTGTGCTGCGGCGAGATGGAGATCCACGGGTGCCCCGCGCAGGCTGGAGTCCGAGACAGGTACCTGGGTCCTCTACAGGGACTCCCATCCAGTCTCTTAAACTTTTGCTGCTTTGGGAGTTGGCCAGATCTGGCCCTTAGAGTTTAATAAAATTTCTGAGCCAAGAATGGGGCTTGCATCCAAATGAACACCAACCACACTCTACCCGCCCCAGGCCCTTGCCGTGCTCTCTATCCGAGGTGCCCGCCCAGCCTGCCTCCGTGTCCCTTAGTGAAGTGAAGTGTTCAGTGAACTGACACTGCCTCAGTGAAGCCTTCCCCACCTCTCAGGGGAGAACTGATAAACTTTCTCTGATACCACCAAATGTCACCAGCTCTGGCTCTGTAAGGGGTGACACGGAAAAGAATATGTTTTCACTCTGGTTTCCTTGGCTGGATTGGGAGCTATTCCTCACTTCATCTTTCCAACCGTGTAGCACCTAGCATGGTGTATTCTATAGGTGCCACGTGAATGCTTGCTAAACAAAACTGTTCTAGAATGTCAGTAGTTCAGGTAGAAACACAAAGATTGCTGTCCAACAGCAAATGGGGTCAGATTTAATCTGTGACTAGTGAATGTTACAGTTTTCAAATTCAAATATGCTCGACGGCTTGTGCATGTATTTGCTCGCTGCACACAGTAATTGCACAGCTGGGCCCTGGGAGAATCTGTGACCCAGGTTCCATGTCTCTGCCTTCCTGCCCTCGGGTTGGCATGGTAGGGGATGCCTGTGGGCACCCGCTTGGCACTCTCACATGCCTAACCTGGAAGAACAAGAGCAGGGGGGTTACTGCCCTGTGGGGACCACCCTTGACGAATGGGGGACAGAAACAGATGGAAAAATGCATTTCCCTCTTGGGTCTCTGGGTGGCAGAGATGAGAATTAGGTCCCAGCAGAACAGAACTCCACTTAGCTCAGCGGTGGCCAGCCTGGGGCTGCAGCCTGGCATTGTGTCCCCTCCCCTTTCCTTTATAACTTGCTGCCCGGGCTCTTCCTCTTTGCTGACACCCCGGCATCTGTGCTCTGTGTGGGGTATCACCTGAGACCACACTTTCCTTCTAGACCATTCAGGGCTTCCCTCCTCTGGGGCAAAGGAGAGGGCTGGGGCACGGGTGGCCAGGTATCGTCTCATGCACTCAGTGCTCCCTGGCTTCCATCCAGAGCCCTCGGATGAACAGACTCCCTCCATGGTCCAGACCCCAGCTGTCACCATCCCACATTTCCCCTGTCCCCTTCCATTGGTACCAGAGGCTCCACTCATCTAAACAGTTAATGGAACACATTCTGTCTTCCCTCTGCTAGACTTAACCACTGGGCTAACCTGTGATTTGTCATTTGTTAATATTTTTCACATAAACCCAGAAATCACCATCCTATGCTCAGCAACAGCTAAGTCAGGCACACGTGATTCCTATGTCCCCAGGACTTTCAGCAGGACTGGGCCACCGACAAATCCTCACCATCCACAGACACTGGTGGAGACCCTGCTGAGAGCCAGGAGTGGGCTGGGGAAGCGATGAGGCAGAACAGACGGGTTATCCTCTGAAGACTGCTGATCCAGTCTAGGCAACAAGGACATCCATGAAATGGCATGTCCCCAACAGGACCAGGCGGTAGATCCTAGAGCCAGCTGAGCTGTCTTGGGAGGATGTGCTCCAGGATCTCAGAGCCAGAGGGAGCCACGGTGTGTAAGGGAAGCCCCCAGCATGGGATACGCCATGCAGCATTCCAGGCAGGAGGAGTTGCACAGGCAGAGGACAAAGGGAGGGTGCAGATGCCGGGTTTATGAACTGCGGGGAATATGGCAGGACCTATAGGTCATTGTCAGTGGTGGAGGCTTTTCAATGTCAAGTTGAAGCATTTGGAGCTTTCTCCAGTGAAAGCCACCAAAGGCTTTATGAAAAGTGGTACTGGGTTTTGGGGGAATACCTGAAGCCGTACACCATGGGCTGGAGGGAGAGAGGGCTGCACTGTTAGGAGGTGATTGTGCACCCAGCTAGACCAGGAATGATGGACGTGCAGGGAAGGGGCTGATGGGCAAAGTCTGAGCAGGAAGTGGAAGGAGAGTCGGCACTGAGCCTGGGTGACAACAAGGCTGCTCCACTTAGGGGAACAGCAAGGTCTAGACGGAGCCTATCTGGGAGATGGTCTGAGAACTTCCCCTGCAGATCCAAAGGAGTGGCCCAGAGCAGCTGCACTGAGGGCCTGTCTAGCACCAACACCCTGAGATACCATTGCATCTGAATTATAAATGACATGCAGCACTTAAAACCTTTTTTTTTTTTTTGCTTGACGAGACCCTGCAGTATCCCTCAGGCCTGTGGAGAAGGGTCTTCCCACTTCAGGCAGTGGGCAGGGGGCAGGGGAACGACCGAGTACCCAGAGCCCATTCTTTTTTTTTTTTTTTTTTTGAGACAGGGTCTTGCTGTGTTGCCCAGGCTGGAGTGCAGTGGTACAATCATAGCTCACTACACCCTGGAACTCCTAGGCTTAAGTGATCCTCCCACCTCAGCCTCCCAAGCCAGGATTACAGGCATATGCCACCACGCCCAGCTAATTTTAAAATTTTTGTAGAGATAGAGTCTGGGCTATGTTGCCTTGGCTGCTCTTGAAATCCTGGCCTCAAGAGGTCCTCTGACTTTGCCTCCCAAAGTGCTGGATGCCAAGTGTGAGTCACTGCACTTGGCCTCAGATCTCGTCTTTTATGAGGCTTCTCACTGCGGCCCTGATGCTGCTCTGGGAAGGGTGTGGCTGGGGCAAGGGCAAGGGCAGGGGTGCTGACCTCTGTGGCAATGGTGTGGTCCTCGCTGTCCCCTGGACACTGGCTGCTGGCTTGACGTCGGCCCAGATCCTTCAGCTCAGCCTGCAGTGCCTCCAAATCCTTCTGGTGCCCAGAGCAGGCAGCTTGCTGCTCTGACAGCTCCTGCCTGAGGGACTCTGGAAGAGGGAGGGCAGTGGGAGTCAGGTGCTGGGTCTAGGCTGGAGCCTGTCTTATAGGGACAACAGTCTCTGGAGCAGGGATGGGTGGAGTGGGTGGCTGCTGAAGGCTTGTGGTGGCTTGAGTTCCCCAAACGTTTTTCAAGATAACAGTAACCACAGGGCTATGTGTGAAAACTCTTCTCATTAAAGCCCCACAACCATCCTTTCTGTTATCAATTATACCCACTCCCCACCTCTGCTCCATTTTAGGATGGGACAGGGTGAGTACAATCCCCAAAGCCACACAGCTATTAAATGATGGAGTTGGGATTTCAAAAAGATTTCAAGTGGTTCTTCACTCTGAACCCCCTGCTTGCCCACTACTGGTTGGTTAGGATGGGTGGCAGGTGAGGGCAGGATGGCCTGTGCTCAGGGCCAAATCCTGTGGCAACGCTTGACCTCAGCATCAAGTTAGGAGACCAGGCAAAGAACAGGGAATTATCAAATGAGCCGAAGGTCTCTTCTGGGGGTGATGGTCTCAACTTGGAAAACTTGAAATTTATGTCAACTATTTTTTTTTGAGATGGAGTCTCACTCTGTCACACAGGCTGGAGTGCAGCGGCACGATCTTCGCTCACTGCAGCCTCTGCCTCCCAGGTTCAGGCGATTTTCCTGCCTCAGCCTCTTGAGTAGCTGGGACCAGGAGCGCACCACCACGCCCGACTAATTTTTGTATCTTTTTTTTATTAGAGATGGGGTTTCACTATTTTGGCCAGACTGATCTTGGACTCCTGACAAAATGATCTGCCCATCATGGCCTCCCAAAGTGCTGTTACAGGCGTGAGCCACCATGCCCGGCCAATGTCAACTCTTAAGGAGACGAAATGTTCACAGGTTCTTCTTCCCATGGGTGGGAGGTCTTGGCTAGATCATGGAGGTAGGAGATGGCATGTCGTCCCAGTAGGATAGGGACTAAAATGGAATCACCCAGGAGAAATGTGTGCATTCTCTTAAACCCAGGGGACAGTAAGGCCAGAAACTCTAGCTTCCCCTGTGAGGATGGAGACTGATTTCCCGTAGTACACTAGACACTTCCCAGCATGATGGAAACAATTATTTCAAAATGATTATTTTCTTATAGAGCAGACACTAAATAGAAAGCTATTTCTTTAGAAAAAAAAAGATACTTTCAAAGTGCTTGTAAATTTGATAGTTTACTTTTCTGTTAAGAACTTTTGAGACTCTGTATTTTAGTCATTGCAAATAACCTTTGAAACATTGTTCTGATCACTCTGTACTAAAACCTAGCACAGGTTTTAGTACAGAGCAAGTGCTCAACATGTATTTGTAAAATAAACAAATGATCTTTAGAGTGAAAATGGATGATGTGGTAAAAGTGTATTAGTTATAAAAGCTTTCCTGTAAGCTTACTAACCTTCTCTCAAAGGTTAACTATATTAAACACATGTAAAAGCTTAGTATATTTGGATGATATTAAGATGAAAAATTTACTTGGTCATCTTTTCTCTCCAGCAAAATTTTGATAAAGTGATTTCTATGGCTTATTTTCTTTCTTTTTTTTTTTTTTAAATCTCTAAACATAACCCCATTTTTTGAAAACTTTTATCACAAGATATATGTAATAAAACTCTTTAGCAAATAATAAATTATAGGGTATTAATTCTTTACCCTCCTCCTTCTCTCACACCTTCCCATCATTCATCTATCTGTCCACCTATCCATCTATCCACTGACCCATCTATCCCTCTATCCACTTGCCCATTCATTCACCCATCCACTTATCTACCCATCCACCCATTCACCATCCATCCGTCTATCCATTCATCCATCCATCTGCCTACCTGTCTGCCCAAGTATCTGTGTACCCTTCTGTCCATCCATTCATCCATCCACCCATCAATTGCCCACCCAATCATCTATCCATCCTTCCTCCTGTCCGTCCATCCACCCATTTTTCTGTCTTCCATCTGTCAACCCAGCCACCCATCTAACCACACACCCATTCACCTGTCTACCCACCCACCCATTCATCCTCCATCCATCTGTTCATCTATCCATCCAGCATGTCAGGATTCCAACCCTCTAGTAAACACCGGCCCTCCCTGCACTCTCACAGTGACCTATAGTATTACAGGTCAGTTGTGTCTCACACAGATATTAGAAGAGGAGAATCAGCACCAGGATTATCTCATATCAATCTGCCATTGCCGCAGGTGCTCGCACCTTCCCATGAAGCCTACGATTTGTTGTCATCACAGAGTCAACAAAGCCCCTTCTTCCCAGGACTGGTGCTGAGAAGCCCAGCCTTTCCCCAGGCTCTTTCCAGGGATCTCTCTGGATTCTTTTATTTATTTATTTATTTATTTATGAAACAGAGTCTCAGTCTGTCAGCCAGGCTAAAGTGCAGTGGCATGATGTCAGCTCACTGCAACCTCTGCCTCCCAGGTTCAAGCAATTCTCCTGTCTCAGCCTCCCGAGTAGCTGGGACTACAGGCGCATGCCTGGCTAATTTTTGTATTTTAGTAGAGACGGGATTTCACCATCTTGGTCAGACTGGTCTTGGACTCCTGACCTCATGATCCACCCACCTCAGCCTCCCAAAGCACTGGGATTACAGGTGTGAGCCACCGCAGCCGGCCTCCCGATTATTTTCTTCGGGGAAGAACAGGGCTGCTGTGGAGTCAGAAAAGCCAGGGAAGGGGCAGCAGGGACATCTAAACTGGCAGCTGCTGCTGAGTGTTGGAATCACCAGAGTGTCCGGCCTGACCCGTACATGGGGAGCCTTGGACCTGAGCCATGTGGCACAGCTTGTGTTTTATCTTTACATGCTGCTAACTCCAGCATTTCCCATGTGGACACCACCATTCCAGGGTAGCTGCTAACTGGGAAGTCTACAAAACTCTTTCCTTCCTGCTACTCACACCACTTCCTCAAAAACATGCAGTCAGTGGGTCACGTTTTCTAATGAGAACTCAACCAAGCAGCAAGATAGAGCCTACTCACTTAGGGGCATACAGAAAATGCTCTCCTGCAGAATTCTCTTTTTACTTTTTTTCCTAATTAATTTTCTTTGTAGAGATGGGGTCTTGCTATGTTGTCCAGGCTTGTCTCCAGCTACTGGCCTTAAGTCATCCTCTCTCACCTTGGCCTCCCAAAGTGCTGGGGCTACAGGCATGAGTCACCACACTCAGCACCCAGAAATCTCTTAAGGAGAGCCCTGTCTAGGTTTGGAAGAAATATTTAATAAAGGCAACATGATCTTTAGTGTTCTGCATGAAATGATGAGAGGTATTTGTCTTGCTCTTAAGGGTGACAGGAAAGATGAGAATGAAGGAGAAAATGAGTGACAGGAATGATCTACAAAAATGGAGAGAGAGCTCCAGAGTCAGGCATGCAGCACTGGAATCTTCAGTCATCATTTAACAGGAACACTCGCATGGCACTTACTGCATGCCAGGCTGTATACTCATGTAATCGTCATTACAGCCCAATGAGGTGAATGCTATTATGATCCTCATTTTGTAGATGGGAGACTGAGGCACAGAGCAGTTAAGCAACCCCCTACCCAAAGCCACACAGCTAGTGAATGTCAGAGCTGCGCTTGACACCCAGGCAGTTTGGCTCTAGGGATCTTAACTGCCTCTGTTAATTTCCAAGATGCTGGGTGTGAGTGGTTTTATTGATGTGGCAACTGAAAAAGGGCAGAGTTTTGGGCTGGGGAAGATGTTGGGGCAGTCAGAGAAAGCAGCGTGTGGAGGCCTGAGAGCCCCCAGTTTGTAGAAATCTTCAGAGCAGAAATGAGAGGTTGAGGCAATGCCGTGAAACTCACATGAAGGCTCAGAGATCTGGGTTATATGCAATAATATGATGATGATGACAGTATCTACATTCACTGGGCTCATGTTATATGCTAGGCACTTCGTATTTAATATCTCATTTAATCCACAGAGTGAGCCCACGAGGTAGGGACAATTGTAATTCCATTTTATAAAAAAGGGAAATGAGGATCACAGTGAGCCATCCCAGGTCTCACACCTAGTTGATGGCAGAGCCAGGACTGTCCCCGACCTGTGTGCCCGAGAGCCCTGGAGCCCCGCCCTCAGCTTGTCACTAGTTTCTACGTGCAGACCCTGCAGATGGCCGGGCCCTCCCCGGTGCACTGTTGGAGTATACCTAGCAGCAGGGCCTGCTGGGCCTGCATCCTCTCACGCTCCTCCTGCAGCTCTTGCCTGGCCTTTTCCTCCAAGGCCTGGAGCTCCAGCCGGTGCGCCTGGTGTTGGATCTGGAGGCTGTGGCTGGATTCCTTCTTCAAGCGTTCCTCTGTGGCCTGTGGGAAACAGTGTGGACAAGGAGGCATGTGGGGACACGTGGTCACAGGGTTGGGGGACTCGACTCCTTTGCCAAGCTCTTCTGAGCCAGGGTGGTCTGAAGGCTTGCACTCTCCCATGGAGGGCTTATCAGGCTACAGAGAACGCTGTACAATGGCCCGGCCACAGCAGCCATTTTGCCCCGTGTGAACCCGCCCTCTTCCACAGCTGATTGGGCCAGAGCGGACACCCGTTCCAAGCTGGGCCAATCAGAGTTCCTTTAATGGAAATTTGGTATGAAGAGGTGGGGGACAGAGCCAAAGAGACTGACAGATACTCTGTGGCTCCAAATTTACTGTACTCGGGAGCTCTGAGGCAATATCTGATATCTGCCCCAGGACGAGTGGGGTGGAGGCAGCCCAGGGCTGGTGTGCAGAGCAGAGCAGAAATGCCATGGGGAGGAGGGAGGGTCCCTACAGCTCTTGTTTGGTCCTGAGAACTAGCTGTGTCTCTGTCCTTGGGTTCATATTCACTCATTCTTTCTTTCCCTATTTTTTATTTTTGGTTCATTCATGCTTTCCCTCAACAAACATTCATTTACTGAAGTCCCACTGTGTGTCAAACACCCAAAGCAGTTTCTGTGAGCAGCTGTATAAACTTAAAGTGTCTCTTCACTGCCTGCCTAACGTCACTCAAGCTGGTTTCTGTGAGAGGTACAAAAACAGCCCGTAAGATGTCCATGTCTGAATCCCTGAAAACCGAGGATGTTACCTTACATGGTCAAAGGGACTTTGCAGAGGTGATTAAGGATCTTAGACGGGAGATTACCCTGAATTATCTGGGTGGGCCTCAGTCACAAGAGGGCTGTAGGAGGGTTGGTGAGAAAAGGGTTGATGGTGGAAGCAGAGGTCAGAGAGAGAGAAAGGGGGAGAGAGAGGGAGAGGAGAGAGAGCACGCGATTTGAAGATGCTACGCTTTTGGCTTTGATAATGCAGCAAGAGACCAGGAGCCAAGGAACTCAGGCAGCCTCTAGAAGTCGGAAAAGACAAAGACAGAGATTCTCCCCTGGAGCCTTTAGAAGGAACCAGCCCTGCCAATTCCATGATTCTTAGATTTCTGACCTTCAGAACTGTCAGATAATAAATCCGTATTGTTTTAAAACACCAAGCTTGTGCTAATTTGTTACAGCAGCAATAGGAAACTAATATAGTTTCTGGGTTTTTTTCCCCCCAGTTAGAAGAGTTTCAGTTAATACATAGCCCCAGGTTTTAGATGAGGAAATGAGAGGTGGGCATTGGAGAGATGAATTTGGTTTCCCAGGGTCGCACAGAAAAGATAGAGAAATTATTATCCCTTCATCTTTTTTAACTCTTTTTTTATATAGAGGGAGGATCTCACTATGTTACCCAGGCTAGTCTCAAACTCCTGAGCTCAAGCAATCCTCCTGCTTAGCCTCCTGAAGTATTGGGATTACAGGCATGAGCCATCACGCCCAGGCACCCATCCCTGCTGCCATCTTTTTTAACAGAGCTGGCAACTGTGGCTAGAAAGGTAGGAGACCTGCCTGTAGACAGGTGATGATAGAGGCAGGATTCTGACCTATGAGTGGTGGAGTCCAGGGCCCAAGCCCTTTCCATTCACTCAGGCAGTGGAAATTTCATCAAATTTCCTCTGGGATTTCACCAAATACATGAGGCTCTTGTGAGGGAAGAACTCAACCATCTTTGCACCCAAGTTGGCCTCCTGAACTCAGCGGGTCATGTGGAAGCTTGCCTTAGCCTGTCTCTGCCACCTCTCACAGGGGATGGCAATAGGGAACTGGTCTCACTCCTCCCAGGGGAAAGTCAGTCATTCTGTGGCAAGTTTCTTTTTCTTTTCTTTTTTTTGAGACAGGGTCTCACTCTGTTGCCCAGCTGGTGGTGCGATCATGGCTCCCTGCAGCCTTGACCTCTCAGGCCCAAGTGATCCCCCGACCCCAGCCTCTTAAGTAGCTGAGACCACAGATGCTCACCACTACACCTGGCTAATTTTCTGTAGAACTTGGGTCTCCCTATGTTGCCCAGGCTAACTTCAAACTCCTGGCCTCAAATGGTCCTCCTGCCTTGACCTCCCGAAGTGCTGGGATTACAGGCATGAACCACCATGCCTGGTTGTAAGTTTATTTAAAAAAACAGAAAAGCTTCATACTTTTCAAATTCTCTGATACCTTCCTCCTCCTCCCCTTGTTGCAAGGCTCAGAGAACACCAATTGGTGACATTTTTATCCCTAGGGAAATGGGGATGGAGAACTTGAAGCCTGGGCTTTGCAAGAGGGAGCCAAACTCTCTCACTCTTACCCAGCCTCTCTCCATCTCAGGGGGCAACCAAAGATTCAGGTCAGCACCGCCCACCCACTTGCTCAGAAGCCTTTGACAGTGAGGATCACACATGCTGCAGCGGCACCCAGGGCTCAGGGCAAGCTGGGGACTCATTCCTGGTGAATTTCTCCAGCTGCTATGGGAGGGTTACCCTGCTCTTGTTGTGGCCAGTTTGGGGCCTCCTAAGGGACCCAGTTTCACCTTGTTTCTCTAAAAGTCTCATACTATATAATGTCTCTATTCCCAGTGCTTCCAAATACCTTAGGCAACTACCTCATGGCTACCACCCACTGATCCCAGCAAACTGTTTGAGGGGCTGTCTTTTCCCCTATAGGCGAGCTATGTAAGGACAGAGAGTGTGGTAATCTGGTATCTCCACAGCTCTGCATGATGGCAGCTCACAGTAGCTACTTAATAAATGCCAGCAGAATAGATGAGTGAATAATAAAAATGAACCCTTTAAAAACTGAGCTGTTACTCAGCCACGCACTGTTCTAAGTACTTTACATGTATTATCTATTTTGATCTTCATAACCATCTTATAAGATCTATACTACCATCAATCATTTTATAAATGAGGAAACTGAGTCACAAAGAAGCTAGAAGACTTGAGCTCCCATACTTTGTAAATGGCAGATCCAGGACTTGAACCCAGGCAGCCCACTCATAATTACTGACACAGGAACTGGGGCAGAGTGTCCTTTCACTTGCCCTTGGCTAGGACTCAGACCTCATGGGTCCAACTCCCCAGAGCACTTGGAACTCCCCGCCTCAGGTGAATGAAGCCTCCTGCCCTCTCTGCCTCCTGCGAGAAATTGGGGTCCGCAGCATGGAGGAATAAAACTCAGGCATACACGAAGGTCAGTGTCACCCAGCAGTGAATACACCTGGGATCTCCCCAGCCTGAGCTCTTGAAGATTGTAAGCCAAAATGGAAAGACTTAGAAGAACAAAAGAAATAAGGAAACTGACTTTTTTTTTTTTTTTTTTGAGCATCTAGTAAGTGCCAGGCAGTCCATGTGCATTATTTCCCTTTCTTTCTTTCTTTGTTTTGATTTGAGATGGAGTCTGCTGTGTTGCCCAGGCTGGAGTACAATGGTGTAATCTCAGCTCACTGCAATCTCTGCCTCCCGGGTTCAAGCGATTCTCCTGCCTCAGCCTTCTGAGTAGATAGGATTACAGGTGTGCGTCACGATGCCCGACTAATTTTTGTATTTTTAGTAGAGATGAGGTTTCACCATGTTGGCTGAGCTGGTCTCGAACGCCTGGCCCCAAGTGGTCTGCTCACCTTGGCCCTCCCACAATGCTGGGATTACGGGCATGGGCCACCGTGCTCAACTTTCTTTCTTTTTTTAAAGCTTCTTTTATATTGTTATCAGGGTAATATGTACACATAGTAAAGAGCCAAATAGTATTAAAAGAAAGGAAAATAAGCAGCCTCCTAGCTCTTTCTTCCTCCCTCTCTGTCTCCTGCTCTCTGGAGGCAGCTGTTGTCAACTCCTTGTTTCTTGTGGTATTTACCAGCATTAAAAATACAGTGTTTCCATTCTACTGTATCTTATTTTTGAGATTATAAATTGTCTTCCCATTATAGTAGATGAGGATTTTAGGTCTCATACACTCTACCTCTTCCATTGCTTATACATAGTTGTGTTTCTTTTTCTTTTTTTTGAGACAGAGTTTTGCTCTTGTTGCTCAGGCTGGAGTGCAATGGCGCGATCTTGGCTTACTGCAACCTCTGCCTCCTGGGTTCAAGCGATTCTCCTGACTCAGCCTTCCGAGTAATTGAAATTACAGGCATGTGCTACCATGCCCAGCTAATTTTTTGTATTTTTAGTAAAGGAGGGTTTCTCCATGTTGGTCAGGCTGGTCTCGAACTCCTGACCTCATGACCGTCCACCTCAGTCTCCCAAAGTGCTGGGATTACAGGTGTGAGTCCCTGCGCCCAGCTCTATGTTGCTTTTTTAATATGTTGAAGTACACCTCATATTTTAAATATTGAGAATATGTAAATATTTTGCACCATTGAGATAAAAAAGTTACTATGATTGAATTTCTGCCTTGTGCAACTTTTTGTTTTTCTTGCTTTAATAACTGTTGCATTTTTTATTTGTTTAGTTTCCTTTGGCTATCTGGTGAAGTCTTCCTACAACTTCTAAATGCTTTGTACAACACTCAGTGCAATTTTCTACATGGCCAAATCTGTCAGAGAATCCATCGGTTCTGCTTTCCCCGGGAGACAGCTCTTCCAGAGCCCTCGGTTCCTTACTGCAGCCCGGACTGAGCTATTGGCCAGTGGCTAAGCCAGCCTCCTCAAACCTTCCTTCTTGCTTCTGCATTGAACCCCGGTATCCCAGCTCTCTTTTATTCCCTTTTCCTTGGTTTGCTCCCTTGTTTTTGTGGGACACCTTTTCAAATAGCTGCTTAAGAGAAAACAGTGTTTAAGCCAGGCCACAAGGTAGAAGGTTCTGGATGAAACGCAGCCGAACCACCTGCCAGGTTATCCGTTGTTGTATACCACGCCACAGTTTTCCAAACCCTTGGAAAGGTCAAAAGGTCTTTGTGGCTGAGCTGTTTTTTTGTTTGTTTGTTTGTTTTTGTTTTTTGAGACAGAGCCTTGTTCTGTCTCCCAGGCTAGAATGCAATGGCACAATCTCAGCTCACTGCAACCTCCACTTCCAGGTTCAAGTGATTCTCATGCCTCAGCATCCCAAGTAGCTGGGATTACAGGCACTTGCCACCATGCCTGGCTAATTTTTGTACTTTTATTTATTTTTTCCTTTTTTTTTTTTGTCATGAAAGCAAATCGTTCTTATGTCACCAAGGTCACAAGCAGGTGGGGAACGTAGCACAAGAAGCCCAGCAGACCTAGTCCACTTCCTTGCTTTGCCACTTACAAGCTGTGTGACCCTAAGCAAGTTACAAAATCTCTCTGAGCCTCTTTCCTCATCTGGAAAAAGAGAATACAATAATAACGACCCGGAAAGATTCTCGGGCGGGGGGCGGGGATGGAGGTCATGTAGAAAAGGGACGGCTTTGTGCATGGCCGTACTCACCTAGCGGGTGCCCAGCAGAGTAGACCGCACAGTCATCCCCTCACCTTGAGTTCCTGATGTCTGGCCTTCTCCAGCATGCGCAGGGCTCTCTGGTGGGACGCCTCGAGTTGGGCTTTCACGGCCTGGTTCTGCTGAGTGCTCTCCTGGAGCTCACGCTGCAGCTTCTCCCTCTCGAGGTCCGAGAGCTGCTTGAGCGCCTGCAGGTCCTCCCTGTAGTTGCTGGCACACTGCTCCAGAGCCTGCTGCATCTGCAAGACCTGCGCACCGGGCGTGCTGCCCTCAGCCTAAGCCCCTGGCCTTTCCTGGGATTTTTTTTTTTTTTTAATGAAAGCTTTCTAAATGTAACCTCCATGCAGCTGAGCCTCCTCTGTCTGTAGGGACTCAGGGGATGGAAGCTGCAAGTTTTAAGGACCTGAGGGTGGCCAGTCCTCCCAGGGACCCCTCAGCTAGAGCCACAAATGCCAGGAAAGAGGAAAAGAGGGGTGAGGACACCAACCTTCCAAGAGAAATCAAGAGAGGACTGGAATACCCTCCAGGCACCCACGTGGCGGCCCCCCTCCTCCTTCAGGTGCTTGCTCGAATCTGGCTTCCTCCCTGAGGCTCCTCCTGACAGCCTCCTGCAGTACTGCCTCCCCTACCCCCGGCCCCTGTCACAGGGCAGCCTCCCAGAACCCTCTGCACTGCTCTAGTTTTCTTTTCTTTATTTCTTTTTTTTTTTGAGATGGAGTTTCACTCAGTGGCTCAGGCTAGAGTCAGTGGCACGATCTCAGCTCACTGCAACCTCCACGTCCTAGGTTCAAGCGATTCTCCTGCCTCAACCTCCTAGTAGCTGGGATTACAGGCACCCACCACCATGCCCAGCCAATTTTTTTGAATTTTTAGTAGAGACAGGGTTTCACCATGTTGGCCAGATTGGTCCCAAACCCTTGACCTCAAATGATTCGCCCAGCTTGGCCTCCCAAAGTGCTGGGATTTCAGGCGTGAGCCACCACACTCAGCTTTTCTTTTTCCTGAGTCATCATTACCTTAGAATCAACTACGTGATTTACTAACTTCTTATGTCGACCATTTATTTGTCTGTTTCCACCTCCGTTGCTAAAATATACGTATTCTTCTTGTGACACGGAATCTCACTCTGTCACCAGGCTGGAGTGCAGTAGTATGTTCTTGGCTAATGGCAACCTCTGCCCCCCAGGTTCAAACGATTCTCTTGCCTCAGCCTCCAGAGTAGCTAGGACTATAGGCACGTGCCGGCACGCACCATCGCGGCCGGCTAATTTTTGTATTTTTAGTGGAGACACGATTTTACCATATTGGCCAGGCTGGTCTCAAACTCCTGAACTCGTAATCTACCCTCTTCAGCCTCCCAAAGTGCTTGGATTATAGGCGTGAGCAACCACACCCAGCCAAATTGTATATATTCTTTGTATATAAAATATGAGACAGGATCTTGCTTTGTTGCCCAGGCTGGAGTGCAGTGGTGTGATCTCAGCTCACTGCAACCTCTGCCTCCTGAGTTCAAGTGATTCTTCTGCCCCAGCCTCCCAAGTAGCTGGGACTACAGGCATGTGCCACCACACCCAGCTGATTTTTGTATTTTTAGTGGAGACGGGTTTCACCACATTGACCAGGCTGATCTCAAACTCCTGAGCTCGTGACCTGCCCACCTCAGCCTTCCAAAGTGTTGGGATTACAGGCGTGAGCCACCATGCCTGGCCAAAATATACATATTCTTTATATATAAAATATGATATCTTTTTTTTGGAGGTAGAATCTCACTTTGTTGCCCAGTCTGGTGTGCAGTGGTATGATCACCGCCCAAGGCAGCCTCAAACTCCTGAGCTCAAGCAACCCTCCCACCTCAGCCTCCTGAGTAGCTGGGAGTACAGACACATGCCACAACACCCGGTAATTTTTTTCATTTTTTCTAGAGACGGAGTCTTGCTATGTTGCCCTGGTTGGTCTTGAACTCCTAGGCTCAAGCGGTCCTCCTGCCTAGGCCTCCCAAAGTGCTGGGATTACAGGTGTGAACCAGCACATCTGGCCATAAAATGTAAGGTATTTTGTCTGGCTTCTGCATTGATGAATCATCAGTGGCTCATAGTACTCTTTAGCACAACAGGTTTTTTTTTTTCTTTTTTTGAGACACAGTCACTCAGGCTGGAGTACAGTGGCGTGATCTTGGCTCACTGCAACCTCTGCCTCCCAGGTTTAAGTGATTCTCCTGCCTCAGCCTCCTGAGTAGCTGGGATTACAAGCATGTGCCATCACACCTGGCTAATTTTTGTATTTTTAGTAGAGATGCGGTTTTACTGTGTTAGCCAGGCTGGTCTTGAACTCCTCACATCCAGTGGTCTGCCCCCCATTGGTCTCTCCAAGTGCTGGGATTACAGGTGTGAGTCACCATGCCCAGCTGCAGCAGGTTTTGAATGAATGAATAAATAAAACCAAGAATCTCATTTTGCCCTGGTCCTGTAATGCCTTCTTAGCTTGGATGTGAATGAGGCCCTGAATGCATTTCTAAGTTTATAAAAAGGAGAAGGCAAGATCTCAGGAAAGTGGCATCCCCACTAGGGCTGTCCTACCTGGGCTTGCAGTTTGGCCTTCTGGATTTGCCAGTCCTCCTGTAGATGCTGGATTTCGGATGTGTTCTCCTTCAACAAAGAGTCCAGTGGAGGTTGCGGGTCACTTCCCTCCTTGAGGGACACTTTGATCCTTTGAAGACAGGGATGCCACAATCACAAACAATCCTAGGGCTGGGAATGACACTACCCCTCTGATAACGTGCCAGCCACTCTGCCTGGGAGGAGGGACCTCTGATAGCGGTTAGTGGGGGTGAGAAACATCTTACTTGACTTTCAAAAAGCAACCTGCCATATAAAGTGTATTATTACACTTAGGTTACAATCAGTATTTAGCAGGAACCATCTAATATCTGTTTTAGTGGGTTCTTAATAAATGATGACCAACTGTCAGAATGACTGAGAGCTTAGAGTTACTGATATGGGGTCTCTGGGGACTCCAAAAAAGAGATCTCTATGGTCTTAATTTTGCAGCTCTTTCTGCATATATAAAAACAACAACACTTCACCTTAATGCAGTCTTCTGCATTTTTCAAAGCATGGTCACACCTTTTACTGGCATCCCAAGTACAAATAGGGATATCACAAATAGGCCTTCATATATGTAGCGTGAACAAGGAAATGCTAGTTTAAAGCTGCAGGAGTTTCTACATTCTAGGTAAGATGCTGACAGATGTCTTTAGAGGAGGACACCAGAGCTCCCTTCCTTAATTCTGACCTTTTGAACCAACTGAGAATTTTGAGTGTGATTGATTTAGGTTGGGATGTTAAGTGTTTATCTTGCTTGAAAATGTAAAAGAATGCCACATGGTGGGCCTCTCTGTAGAGACTGCCAGGTATGAGTGGCATCTGCTTCCCCTGACAAGGACATCAGGCCAGAGCTCCAGAGGTGGGGGTGAAGGTCTTGGGCTGTGAGAAAAGGCTATGAAAAGGGGCACTCTGCTTGGCAGAGGTGAGAAGGCCCAGGCTGGGGGGTTAAGTATGAGAGAGACAATGGGGACTCCTGAAAGGAAATGCAGGATGCTAGAAGCAGCGTAGGAAGGTGGCCAAGAGGATGGTGCAAGAGCCAGACCACCCGGCTCCAAATTCCAGCTCTGCAACCCACTCACTATGGGGCCTTGGTGAGGTCTTTAAACTCCCTGGGCCTGAGCTTCCTCCTCTATAGCATAAGGTTAATAAGGCTACCTTTTCCATAAGGATTAAGAGTCAATATCTATAAAGTACTAAAAACATTGTCTGGCACATAGTAAGAATTACATAAAGAACTAATTATGAGCCAGGGGCAGTGGTGCATGCCTATAATCCCAGCACTTTGGGAGGCAGAGGCTGGGGGATCACCTGAAGTCAGGAGTTCAAGACCAGCCTGGCCAATATGATGAAACCCATCTCTACTAAAAATACAAAAAATTAGCCAAGTATGGTCATGCATGCCTGTAGTCCCAGCTACTCAGGAGGCTGAGGCAGGGGGATCGCTTGAACCCAGGAGGTGGAGGTTGCAGTGAACTGAGATTGCACCATTCCATTCCAGTCTGGGCAATAAGAGTGAAACTCTGTCTCAAAAAAAAACAAAAACAAAAACAAAAACCTACACATATTAAAAGAGAGAAGTTTTTTTTCTCTGCATTCTGATTCTCTTAGTTATCCTCAAGCTTTTCAAAGGTGTGCAAAACATAGCCACCTTTAAGGAACAATGTAGCAGGGATACCTGGGTCTGAAACCAACCCAATGGTTAGGAGAAGGCCAGAGAAACTAGAAGAGCAGCCTAGGGCAAGAGTGACAGGTGGCATCACCAGGTAAGCGCTCCCGGTGAATCCCTGTGGAGGGACTGAACTTTCTCTCAGGCTAGGGCTCAGTTTATTATTATTTTTAATGTTTTCTTCAAGTAAAATTTAGATATAGTGAAGTGCACAGATTCACTATAAGTGTACAATCCAGTGAGTTTTGATAAATATATAAAACTATGAAACCAATATCTCAATCAAAATACAGAACATTTTCATTAACCAAAAACTTTCCTTGCAGCCAAGCTTTGATTTCCACAGATCACTTTTGCTTGAGCTTAAGTGTCGTACAAACTGAATCATGTGGTGGCATTCTTTTGTTTCCAGGTTATGTTGCTCCCCCTCATGTCTTTGGGCCTCATGCATGTTGTTGTGTATGTCAGCAACTCATTCTTTTTGCTGCTGTGTAGTATTCCATTACATGAATGCACTGCAATTTGTTTACCCATTTCTCTACTGATAGACATTTGGGTTGTTTATGCTTCTGGGCTATCCTAAATAAAGCTGCTAGAAATAAACCTGTCCAAGGATTTTTGTAGGTATATGTTTTTCATTTCTTTCTTTCTTTTTTTTATGAGATGGAGTCTTACTCTGTTGCACAGGCTAGAGTGCAGTGGCGCCATCTCGGCTCACTGCAACCTCTGTCTCCTGGATTCACGCCATTGTCCTGCCTCAGCCTCCCAAGTAGCTGGGATTACAGGCATGTGCCACCATGCCTGGCTAATTTTTGTATTGTTTAGTAGAGACAAGGTTTTACCATGTCGGCCAGAATGGTCTTGAACTCCTGTCCTCAGGTTATCCACTCACCTTGGCCTCCTAAAGTGCTGGAATTACAGGCATGAGACACAGTGCCCAGCAATGTTTTTCATTCTTTTGCTTAAATACCTAAAAGTGGAATTGCTGGTAGGTATGTGCTTAATGTTCTAAGAAACAATCAAATAGCTTTCTAAGTTGATTGTACAATTTTAGGCCCTGCCAGTAATATATGAGAGTTCCAGTTGCTCTAGATTGTTGCCAACATTTTGTGTTGTCAGACTTCTTAATTTTAGCCATTCCATTGGTGGGAAATGGTATCTCACTGTTGTGGTAAGTTGCGTTTTCCTGATGACTAATGATGTTAAGCTCGTGTTCATGTGCTTACAAGCCACTCATATATCTTTTTTTTGGGGGGACAGGGTCTTGCTCTGTCACCCAGGCTGGAGTACAGAGGCATGATCATGGCTTGCTGCTGCCTCAACCTTCTGGGCTCAAGCAATCCTCCCACCTCAGCCTCTTAAGTAGCTGGGACTGCAGGCATATACCACCATGCTCAGCTAATTTTTGTATTTTTTTAGAGACCACGTTTTGCCCTGTTGCCCAGCTGGTCTTGAACTCCTGGGCTCAAGCAATCCACTTGCCTTGGCCTTCCAAAGTGCTGAGATTACAGACATGAGCCATCATGCCCGGCCTCACATGTATCTTTTTAGGGAATTGCTTGTTCAAGTATTTTGTCCATTTTAAAAATAGGTTTGCAGCACATGACAAAGATGCCCTCTCTCACTCCTATTCAACATAGTATTGGAAGTTCTGGCCATGGCAGTCAGGCAAGAGAAAGAAATAAAGGGCATCCAAATAGAGAGAAAGTCAAACTATTCCTGTTTGTAGACGACATGATCCTATAACTAGAAAACTCATAGTCTCAGCCCAAAAGCTCCTTATGCTGATAAACATCTTGAGACTTCACGAAAGTCTCAGGATACAAAATTGATGTGCAAAAATCACTAACATTCCTATATACCAACAACATTCAAGCTGAGAGCCAAATCAGGAACACAATCCCATTCACAACTCTCTCTCTCTCTCTCTCTCTCTCACACACACACACACACAAATATGGAAGGAATACAGCTAACCAGGGAAGTGAAAGACCTCTACAAGGAGAACTGCAAAACACTGCTCAAATAAATCAGAAATGACACAAACAAATGGAAAAACATTCCATGCTCATGGATAGGAAGAATCAATATTGTTAAATGAACACACTGCCTAAAGCAATTTATAGATTAAATGCTATTCCTATTGAACTACCATTGACATTTTTCACAGAACTAGAAACACTATTTTACAATTCATATGGAACCAAGAAAGAGCCCAAATACCCAAGGTAATCCTTAGCAAAAAGAACAAAATTGGAGGTATCATGCTACCTGACTTCAAACTATACTGCAGGACTACAGTAACCAGAAGAGCACGGTACTGGTACTAAAACAGATTAGACCAATGGAACATAATAGAGAACCCAGAAATAAAGCCACACACCTACAACTATCTGATCTTTGACAAACCTGGCAGAAACAAGCAATGAGGGAAGAATTCCCTATTCGATAAATGGTGCTGGGATAATGGCACAATTTGCAGAAGAGTGAAACTGAACCCCTTCCTTATATCATATACAAAAGTTAACTTAAGTCCAGGCATGGTGGCTCATGCCTATAACCCCAACACTTTGGGGTTATAGTGGAAGGATAGGTCAAGGCCAGCCTGGGCAACATAGTGAGACCCTGTCTCTAAAAAAAAAAATAAATAACTCAAAGACTTAAATGTAGAACCCAAAACTATAAAAACTCTGGAAGACAACCTAGCCAATATCATTCTGGACATAGGAACAGGCAAAGATTTCATGATGAAGACACTAAAAGCAATAGCAACAAAAGCAACAATTGACAAATGGAATACAATTGAACTAAAGAGCTTCTGCACAGCAAAGGAGACTATCAACAGAGAGAACAAACAATTTGCAGAATGGAGAGAAAGATGTGCAAACCATGCACCTGACAAAGGTCTAATATCCAGCATCTGTGAGGAACTCAAACAAGTTTATAAGAAAAAAACAAGCAATCCCATTAAAAAAAAGTGGGCAAAGGACATGAACAGACACTTTTTAAAAGGAGACATACCTGTGACCAAAAATCATATGAAAAACAGCTCAACGTCACTGATCATTAGAGAAATGTAAATAGCATTTCACACCAGTCAGAATGGCTACTATTAAAAAGTCAAAAAAATAACAGATGCTGGTGAGGTTATGGAGAAAAAGGAATGCTTATACACTGTTGGTGGGAGTGTAAATTAGTTCAGCCATTGTGGAAGACAGAATGGTGATTCCTCAAAGACCTAGAGGCAGAAATACCATTTGCCCCAGCAATCCCATTACTGGGTATATACCCAAAGGAACATAAAACATTCTATTATAAAGATACTTGCACACATATGTTCACTGCAGTAAAATTCACAATAGCAAGGACATGGAATCAACCTAAATGCCCATCAATGATAGATTGGATGAAAAAAAATATGTTACATATACACCATGGAATACTTTGCAGTCATAAAGAATAAGATCATGTCCTTTGCAGGAACATGGATGGAGCTGGAGGCCATTATCCTTAGCAAACTAACACAGGAACAGAAAACAAAATGCCACATGTTCTTACTTTTATAAGTGAAGTTAAATGATGAGAACACATGGACACATAGAGGGAACAGACACTGGGGCCTACCTGAGGGTGGAGAGTGGAAGGAGGGAGAGGATTGGAAAAAATAACTAATGTGTATTAGGCTTAATACCTGGGTGACAAAATAATCTGCAATCAAAACCCCTGTAACACAAGTTTACCTATATAACGAAACTACATGAGAACTCTTGAACTTAAAAGTTAAATTAAAAAACAAATAGGTTTGTCTGTTTATTACTGATTTATAAGAGTTATTTATATATTCTGAATACAGATGGGATATTTTATCCCAGTCTGTGGCTTGTCTATTCATTTTTAGGTTTTTTTTTTTGAGACAGAGTCTCACTCTGTTGCCAGGTGCCAGGCTGGAGTGCAGTGGCGTGATTTCGGCTCATTGCAACCTCTGTCTCCCGGGTTCAAGCAATACTCCTGCCTCAGTCTCCCGAGTAGCTGGGACTACAGGTGCACACCACCACGCCCAGCTAATTTTTGTATTTTAGTGGAGACGTGGTTTCACTTTGTTGGCCAGGATAGTCTCGATCTCTTGACCTCGTGATCCACCTGTCTTGGCCTCCCAAAGTGCTGAGATTACAGGCGTGAGCCACTGTGCCCAGCCAAGGTTTTTTTTTTAAAAAAAGCAGAACTTTCCATTTTGATGAAAAACAATTTATTAATTTTCCTATGATAATTAGTGTTTTCACATCCTATCTAAGAAATTATTGCCTATACCAAAGTTTCAAAGACACTTTCTTGTTTTAGTTTTTATGTTGTAGATTTATGAAACATCTCAAATTAATTTTTTTACATGGGGCATAGTAGGGGTTGAGGTTCATTTTCTTCTCATGTTTATCCAGTTCTAACACAATTTGTTGAAAAACTTTTCATATGTCAATTGAATTGCCTTGGCACCATTAACAAAAATTAATCTAGCAACTCTGTGTGAATCTATTTCTTAGCACTCCACTATGTTTAATTAGTTTATTTGTCTCTCGGCATATTGATACCACAGTGTGTTTATTACTGAAGCTTTATAATATGTATTGAAATCAGGTAGCCTGAGTCCTCCAACTTTTTCTTCAAGATTTTTAATATTAGTTTTGGCTCTATGACTTGCTCTGGCTCATGGAAGGTGGGTGGAAACGAGTGCATTTCTGAGTGTAGGCTTGAAGATCCACTGCATGTTTCCATCAGCCTTTTGAGCATCTTCCCTTTACCATGACAAAAACATCCCCTAGATGGGGACTAATCCTTCAGCCTGGGCCGCAGAATGAGAAGGCATGTGGAGCCGATTTGAACTGTAATTTGTGGCAGAGCAATAACACCTTACTCTCACCCAGGAGCCAAGCTCATGTAAGTCCTGCTGATATGGTTAGGTTTTACGTCCCCACCCAAATCTCATCTCAAGTTGAAATCCCCATAATCCCCACAGGTTGAGGATAGGACTTGGTGGGAGGTGACTGGATCATGGGGGCAGTTTCCCAAACACTGTTCTCATGATAGTGAGTGAGTTTTCATGAAATCTGTTGGTTTTATGAGTGTTTGTCATTTCTTCCTACACACACTTTTCCCTCACCTGCCGCCATGTAAGACATGCCTGCTTCCCCTTCTGGCATGATTGTAAGTTTCCTGAGGCGTCCCCAGCCAAGCAGAACTGTGAGCCAATTAAACCCCTTTCCTTTATAAATTACCCAGTCTTGGGCACTTCTTTTTTTTTTTTTTTTTTTTTTTTGTGACGGAGTTTCGCTCTTGTTACCCAGGCTGGAGTGCAATGGCGCGATCTCGGCTCACCGCAACCTCCGCCTCCTGGGTTCAGGCAATTCTCCTGCCTCAGCCTCCTGAGTAGCTGGGATTACAGGCACGCGCCACCATGCCCAGCTAATTTTTTGTAGCTTTAGTAGAGACGGGGTTTCACCATGTTGACCAGGATGGTCTTGATCTCTTGACCTTGTGATCCGCCCGCCTCGGCCTCCCAAAGTGCTGGGATTACAGGCTTGAGCCACCGCGCCCGGCCCTTGGGCACTTCTTTATAGCAGTGTGAAAACAAACTAATATACCTGCAGAGCCTGATAGAGCCAGTCATAAAGGTAGCTCGCCTATGAGCTAAAAATCTTTGATATTTAAAGGGTGGCTTATTACAGCAGCAATAGCTGACTGACATAGGTGATATAGGTGGGGATTTCCTCAGGATCACAAAGCTTCCCTATATCCCCTAAACAACACTTGGAATCACAGCAGCAGAAGTTTTGGGCCAGTGCAGGTCTGAATCTTAACTTCTTTGAGCTCCAGTTTCTTAAGCTAAAAAATGGCTTCTTTGGGTTGGTGTAACCATTAAGTAAGATAGTTTATGTAAAGCCTATAGCCACGCTGAAGACATACAAGATATGCCTTTTACCTCCTCAAGCATGCTGCAAGGAGCAGTGAAAAATACTTGAGGACAGAATGAATGAATGGATAAATCCTTCCACATCTGAGTGCTCAGTCACTGGAGCACTCAGAAGTCTGTATGTCCTCCTGTACCTTTCTTCTTCATCACTGCTGGTTCCTTCTTCAGTTTCTAACTTATCTTGATACTCCTCCCCTCTCGGCGAAGTTTCATTCAGCTTCAAGCATGGATCCTAAGGCAAAAAAAAAAAAAAGCCAGATGAGCTTAAGTACAGCTTCATGATTCAACCTGTGGCTTATTCAAATCAGAAAGCAGAGGAGAGGGAGCCCCCAGCAACCCACTATTGGTGCTCAGCTTGCAGGGGGTGCCAATGCTTGTGATGGTGACGTGTCTAGAACAGTGCCTGGATTACTACGGTCAATGCCAGCCTTTAACCCTGTATCCTGTTTTTCAGTCTAGGAAGCATTTCACACTGCTGATAAAACTAAAGCATAAAGAGGGGAAGTAACCTGGCTAGGGTGCCACCATCAGTGAGCAGTGGAAATGAAATATGCAACTGGGCAGTAGGACCCTGGGGACTGAATTCTTGACCTCTTCCTGATATGGTTCTATGCATAACCCTCAGAGAGAGGACCTTGCTTTCTTGTTAAGTCTGCTGCACAGGGCTGCTGTGAAGACCTGAGAACAATGCCGGCTTACGGCTAGTGGTGTGTTTAAGTGTGAGTGATTGGTGTTATTATTACATCCGTTTTACAATTTGTAGTCTGCTATGTCCCATTATGTAGAATCGGAAGACATGGAACTTGCTGAATGACCAGAAATGGGGTATGGGAGGAGAATATGGAAACTATTAGTTAACAATGAGGCTTCTGAATCTTTTATGAATTGGATTTGCAAATGTTATCATTCCCCACTTCCCACAGAAATACGTAGGTGAAAAAGATCCTGTTATTTTGATTTTTCTATTTGTCGTAACCACTGTCCATGAAAACAGTATAAGACAGGGTAGGAACAGATTTATCTCATGAAATAGTGATAACAGTAACCTGTGCTTTTCACTAACTGGTTGCGTGGTCTTGAGCCAGTCTCCTCCCTTTTTTGGACCTGAGTTTCATCAGCTGTGAAACAAAGGGGATGGCTTACACCTATGGTCAAACTGTGTTCCAGGGATCCTGGGAGGTGTCTCAGGGGTAGAAAGGGGCAAAACTGAGGCTGGAAGACAGGTCCTCGGGCTTCCATCCCTCCTTGATCTGGAACAAAACTGCTTTGGTTGCCTTTTCACATACTGTAATGTCTATGAAAGGCCATCTGTGTCAAGACCAATGAAGACCTCCACATTGCCAAATACAAGGGACGATTCTTGGATCTGAGCTAACTGGGCCTCCTAGCAGAACTGGAAATATTGATGATTCCTTCTTTTATGGAGCCTTCTCTCCTGGGCTTTTTCCTCTCCTGTCAGTTGCTGCTTCTCAATCTCCTCTGCTGTTCATTCTCTCCTGCTTCTCAAACTGCCACATGTCCAGAACCAAACTCTTGATTTTACTCCTCCAAACAGCAAGCATGCACCTGGCTCAGGGCTTTGTACTGGCTTTTCCTTCTTCCCCCTGATATTTGCATTCCTTGCTCCCTCACTTCACTTGCTGCAACCAGGAGACTGTCCCTGGCTTAAAGCTTAGGATCTAGTACCAGACAACCTGTGTTTAAATGCCAGATCTTTTACTTATTAATGATGTGACCTTGGGAAAATTACTTAGGTTTTCACGAGGATTAAATGAGCCAATACATGTAAAGCTTTTAGAGTAGTAGCAGGTACCTAAGGTACATTCAACGCTCAAGTTTATTCCCTGGGATTCTTTTTTTTTTTTTTTTTTCAGATGGCATTTCACTGTCACCCAGGCTAGAGGGCAGTGGCACAATTTCAGCACACTGCAACCTCTGCCTCCTGAGTTCAAGAAATTCTCGTCTCAGCCTCCCGAGTAGTTGGAACTACAGGCATGCACCACCTTACCCAGCTCTTTTTTTTTGCATTTTTAATAGAGGGGTTTCACCATGTTACCCAGGCTGGTCCTGAAGTGATCTGCCCATCTCGGCATCCCAAAGTGTGGGGATTACAGGCACAAGCCACCGTTCCCAGACTGTTCCCTGGGATTCTTATTCCCTAGACACCTTCTCTAAAATCCCACCCCATCTCACTCTCTTTTCCTCACCTTGCTCTATGTTTTCTCAAAGGAAATATCATGGCCTGACGTTGATTTGTCTATTTTTTAATTATCTGTTTCCCTCACTGGAAGGTAAGCTCCATGAGTGCAGGGGCTTTGCTCACCTGTTTCTCTCATGCCTAGAACAGTGTGTGGCACATGTGAGTCATTACTAAACCAATAAACACAAATAAGTCACAGGCCACTCCAGGATAGCAGGAGGACCACTCTCTTCCATACTTGCCCTACACCCACTTTTTTTTGTTGTTTTTTGTTTTGTTTTGTTTAATGATACAAGATTTCGCTCTCTTGCTCAGGGAAGAGTACAGTTGCAAAATCATAGCTCACTGCAACCCTGACTTCTCAGACTCCTGATCCTCCCACCTCAGCCTCCCAAGTAGCTGGGATTACAGGTATGCACCACCATGCCCAGGTACTTTTTACATTCTCTGTAGGCACAGGGTCTTGCTATGTTGCCTAGGCTGGTCTGAAACTCCTGGGCTCAAGTGATCCTCCTGCCTCAGCCTCACAAAGTTCTCATATTTACAGGTATAAGCCACAGCATCCACCCTTCACCCGCTTTACATCCCAGGGAAGGAAGGGCCTGGGACTTCTGCTTTGTCGTGAAAATCCCCTGGGCACATGGCTGGAGGGTGGCGTGTGGAGATGACTGTCGCCCAAACTTTGAGTGTTTTCCTGCTTTGCTTTAGAAACCCTTTATGCTTTTATGATTTATAAATTCAAGTTCCATTTAAATGATTTGCATTGCCTCTAAATGTAGCAGAATACCACGTGATGCCCACTCCAGAGAATCAGCACGGCGATGGCACTTGGGAACCCACTGCCCACTGTGCCCAGGAGGACCCGTCCTGGGGCCTTCCGAAGTGATGGCCTGAGAGAGTAAACATCTGCTCCGCCTCCCACAGCTTTTCTCTCTAAGCCTTTATCTTCCCTGGAATGTTCTGTGTTAGCTCTGCTAAGCCAGAGCTACATTTGCCAGGACTTTCTTCTCTGTGTACTCTGGTCCATGTGACTTTGCATAAAACATGGCAGATGGAAGTGAAGCAGCAATCATTTCTTTGTGACGCTTGGATGCTTGAATGTAGCAACATGCCTGGTGCTGTTGCAGCTTACACACGTCATTGCTGATCAGCTCTCTCACCTTGTTGGCCAGGGCAGGTTTTGGGCTCTCAGCTCCTTCAGTTCTTGATGGTTTCTCCTTGACTTCTCCCTATGCTGGGCCAGTGTGTACAGCTCCTGAGACAGCAGCCAGGCCCGAAGCTCCTCCCACACCTGCTGGATCCTCCTCAGGCTTCTCCCTATCCCCGGCCAGGTGCATGTTTAGCTCCATGATGAAGGATGCCTGATTCTCCTGTGGGTCACCTGCATTAGCAAGGTGGAGCCTTCTTGGCTTCAGATACCGACATGGTTTAAGCCCAGCCTTGTGGGCCACAGTTCGTTCTTAATCTTCCTCACTTCACTTCTGTCCTTCTTTCCTTCCAGCGGCCACCCTGCTGACTTTAGGCCCACCATCAGGCAAAGAAGCAACAGTTGAACTTAAAGTGTAGCTGGCTCCTTCAACTACGCTAGGCCAGTTCCTAAATTTAATCTCATATCCTACATCATTCTTAGTAGCTTCTTTCTATGATAAGACCCTAATTGACTCACCCTTTCATCTCTAGATCCTACTTATTCTTCAAGGCACTATTCAACTGCTACTTCCTCATGAAGACTTCACAATCTTTTGTTGCAATTACACCTTCTCCTCTTAAAGTTCTCATAACAATTTTTTTTTTGCTACCACAATTTTCTTTTCGTTGTCATTGTTTTGTTTTGTTTTTTGAGGTGGAGTTTTGCTCTGTCACCCAGGCTGCAGTGCAGTGGTGTGATCTAGGCTCATTGCAACTTTCATATTCCGCGTTCAGGCGAGTCTCCTGCCTCAGCTTCCCAAGTAGCTGGGACTACAGGTGTGTGCCAACACTCCCAGTTAATTTTCGCATTTTTTAATTAGAGATGGGGATTCTCCACGTTGGCCAGGCTGGTCTTGAGCTCCTGACCTCAAGTGATCCACCTGCCTCAGCCTCCCAAAGTGCTGGGATTACAGGCGAGAGCCACCACACCGACCTTGCTACCACAATTTTCTTACAAATGCTTATTGATCACTTACTATGTGCCAGGCCTTGCTCTAGGGACACCTGAATAAACAAAAAAACAGAAATTTTTCTGCCTTGTGTTAGTTACAGGAGCATTTTCTTTCTCCCTTCCTAAACATAAGTGAATATAAAAGTAATCCCAGATATTGTTTTTAAAATGCTATAAACCCTACAGCCAGGGACTGAGAACGCAGCATAGCTATTTTTCACAGCCTGAGTCCTCCCTCTTTATGTAACTAGAAACTGAAGTCCAGCTGTTTGATGTGAACTGGTCACAGGGCCCCATGAGGTTGGTTCATTGTCATGTATTTTCAAAAATATTGCAACTAAACAGATTATAATCTACAACGTGAACCAGAGGCTAAAAGGTCCCCCTGTGCCTCCTAGTTTCAGGTATTTTGGGCATAAAAAATATCTCAGTGATCTCTAATTTCCACAAAGCATAGCAGTAAATATCATAGTCTAGAAGCAAAACAGCTTTGTGAGTTAGCTGCCATAAATTCAGGTTCTGTATAAACCTGGAAAAATTGCAGAGCGAACACGGAAAAAAAACAGATAATCAGATGAGCATATGTACTATTACAATATAAATACATAAATGATGTATGATTAATTAGGTTCAGGTCTCCAAAGGAAAATTCAAGGCTACAAAGAAATTTTGTTCAATAGAAAGCACAAAATATGTTGGCAAAACAATTCTAATGAGACCAGTAGTCAGGACAAACAGGAACTGGCTGAGTTCTACATGGAGAGCTCTTCATATAAAAGCAATTGTTCACTGAAATGCTCTAATAATGAAGCTATAGTCCTCTAACAACAGAGCCTAAAGCATATGGCAAATGTGTGTAATTGTAGTGAGAAACAGGAAACTTTGTAATGGG